CTTGGAATTCTCCACTGTGACGTATCCGGTCCCTTTCAGTGAGAATCAAATGGTTGCTGTGTTTTGATGTTTTTTGTTAAAATTTTAGCAATTGTCTTAAAAAGTTAGAGCATCTTTAGTTTTGGTCTTGGTTGATATCATGTGTAGTTTCTTTCATTGATTACCAATCCTGTTAGATCCTTTGGTACTTCTTATGATATATTGCTCATTCTGTCAACTTGGAGGGAAAATCATAGCTAATATTTCCTACTTGCATAATTTCATAAAATTATATCTTGCTTGTAAATATAAAGGAGAAATAGAAGTGAAGCAGTGTAGAATAAAATTTGTTAAGCTCCATAGATACTCGAGCGGACTGTAGTAGAGCTTCTTCCCTACCTTTAATCCTTGAAATGCCTCCATAAATACACAAAAGGCCCACAAGGGGCAGCGCAGCCTCCTTTAAGAACCACTGATTCCTACTTCCAGCTGCCTTAATCTGCTGCGCAGCTGCATTGTTGGGGGTTTAGGGTCCGAGTAACTGAAGTGCCCTAGGTGCTGAAATATGATATATTTTGAAAAATTAAGACAGATGGAGAATTCGATTTGGTCAACTGCTTCATTTTATTTCAGCGCTCAAATTTTTTTCACTCTTTCTGTATAGTGAGGCAGGAGTATATAACTTATCATCTTTATGGAGTTGCTTGACGGTTGTGTAATTTGTCCCTTTAAAAAAGACAACCTTTTAAGTTAGGAAGGCAGTGCGATCTGATTATAGATGCTCTGTAACATGGGAAAGTTTCCCATAATCATCCGATCCTAATGTTTGTTAATATTTTGTTCCTTATATGCATGTTTTGACATTCAGAGATTAATTTTATATCTATTCACTTAATATGACATATTTTTGATGTTACATAGCCTCAACTAAATTATGTCTTGTTCTATTAGATTGCACACTTTAATCATTTTTCTATGATTCGATTAACATTATAAAAATGACTAATGTGTATATAGACATATCTAATCCACTGATGAATCTGTTTCAGTTTATTTATGTTTGTTTTAGAATAGATCCTCAAAGGTACGATCATGTATGGGACTTGTAGGCTTGAACATGCCTCTAAGTTTTGTTAAATTGGTTAACTTGACCTAAAGCCGATCTATTATTTATTTTTTAAATTAATTTTATTGGTACATTTTAGGTGTACAATATGATAATATTCATCATTGGAAATTTGCACCTTTATGTAATCTCTCTTGGTTCTTATTTTTTCCCCCTTCCCCTGCCCTCTCTTCAACCCCTCCATCCCTCCCCATTTACAAAGACTTTGTTTCCATTTTTCCATTTTCTCATACTAATTCCGTTCCCTTCTTTCCTTTTCCCTACCCTTCCCACTTCCCCTTCCCCTTTTAATTCTTTTTGGGAAAATACCTAGCAGGGGAATAGCTGGGTCAAATGCGACCTCCAGCCCTAGTTCTTTGAGGTATCTCCTTACCGATTTCCACAGTGGTTGCACCAGTGTGCACTCCCACCAGCAATGGAGAAGGGTTCCTTTCTCCCC